AATATATAAAAAAAATATATATAAAAATTTAATATATATATATATATATATATATATATATATTTGTCATCATAAATGTAAAATGTAAAATTTGAGTGTTAGAATCAAGTGGTATGAACGTAAATCATCTATTTTTAAATTATTAATCATATTTATAATATTTATAATGTATTTGGAGGTAACCTGAGAGGTAATTGCATCCATGAGGAGGGCGATGATAGAGAAACCAAGCAGGCCTCCAATGGAAGAACTGAAGCCGCAGAGGCTCTGCATATCGGCCGCGAGGGAAGGGTGAGTAATACTGTTCTGCGCAATACAGGCGTCGATGGTCACATCAGCCATTGCTAACCCTGCATTTGCTGTAGTAAACAGCAGCAAGGCCAACATTGTGAACAGATCCTTCTTCCCCCATATTACCAGCATAGAAATCGCTCCCAAAAGACCTGAAAATTGAAAGAAAGGCAAAGGCTTTAGATAACCAGAGTTTGCAAAAATGCATCAAGGAAAATAAAAAATGAAACTTTGCAACAAAATGATCTCTAGCTTGCCTGCTAGAATCAAATATGGCCTTCTCCGATATCCTGCGACAGGGAGGATGTCAGTGAGGAGTCCCCAGAGGGGTTTAATGATCCAGGGAAGGGAAGTTATCCCCTGATAAACCTGTGATTCCGAAGGCTGGACCTCCTGAATGTCTTTCCAGTAATAATCCGAGGCGACCCGGCTGACGGCGCCGCCCAGCCCCTGGTTGATGCCGTTAACCACCACTATCCCGTAAATGAAGCTCCAATGCATCTCATTTGCCAGCGTTTTGAACCAATGGAAGGGATAACGAGGATCCCTGCATGACTCTCTGTCGTCATCATCGCCAACAAGTTTTTCCTCCAACATTGTTTCTTTGTTAGAAGGATTCATGTCTTTTTAGGCTCTGCTTGCAGAGAGGTTCTCTGGCTTACTTGTAGTGGACGTTCATGCTTGGAGAATTTGCGTGGAACTCTCTGAAGTTGTCTTCTTGCTGAAAAGCAACACTTTTTATATCTATGTATGTATCTATGTATTGTTTACCCTCTGGTGGGGAGTCGACTTAAAGTGGCTGGAAGTAGGGAGCAAACCAGAGCAAGAGAATTTAGTTAGCAAGTGGTTCAGGAAAAGCAAAGGGTGGAGGAAGTGGTCGAGTTATTTAACTTGATGTCAGTTCAACGTGAGATGGGGAGTAGGCTTGAGGTGCATGCCACTAGTGAATGGTCTTTGCTCCGGATCCGATCAATTAAAGGCCGGCTCAGGAACTGGTCCAGGTGGTTGCCGAGACCAAGTTCAAGCCACGCGAAGGTGCAACACCCTTTCTCTTGATCGTTGACGCCAGTCAAGCGGTTGTCCAAAAACTTGCTGGTGAGAGCTTACGTTCGTCTGAGATGAAACGAATGATTGGTATGATAACTTATTTTCCTTCGACTAAGTGAATTTATTCATTTTCTCTTTTTATGATATTTGATTATTCATGCAAATGAAACCGTGCATATCACCGGCTTCTCAGTATGGATGTGGACCAACCCTTCGCTCCAGAGGCGGTCGAGGGACCTTATGTTACAGCTCAAGGAACAAGTGCACCCAACCGTCTGTCTGGTCCTGAGGACGGTGAAGGGGAGACCAACGGTAGGTGGAGATCAGCGTCATCATTGGCTCGCCAGATGGATAAAATGGTGGACTCCTTCGACCGGGAAGTTAACCTGTAGAAGGATGTTGCTATATTAGACTTAAAGGAAGAGCTGGTGGTCCTTTATGTAGACATGGTGACCCTCTGGATGGAGGTGATGACTCTTTAGATGTAGCTGGTGGAAGTTCGGTCAACTAGTTTGATCTTCCGAGTCCAAGTAGATGAAGAGCGTAATAAAATTTATTTTTTTGTAAATTTTAAAAATTTCATATCATTTTATTTTCTCAATTTTTGCATCGATTTGATGTGATTCTCCAAAGATCGAGGTGCGGATTCGAGGCATTTCATCCCTTGGATACCCTATATATAAGGTTAAAGGGAAAACATGGCTTACACTTTCAGATTTTCTTTTCCTTCCATTCAATCATTTCTTGACTCCTCTTTGAGTTGGTTTTCTTTTAGCATTCCAATGGCCTCCAAATTTTCTCCACAATTATTTGACTCAATCTAAGTGACTGAAGGTCTACACTCACTTCATTCAACGTGAGTCTCTTGGAAAACACTTGTGCATATTACACAAGTGTAGTTAGTGATCAAGGTGGTAGAGCCAGAGATGAGGGCAACCAACTACCTGAGAGAAGATATGATCTTCTACTAAATAAGTTTTGGTGGGGACTCTGACTGTCATTCTGCCAAAAGATCTAATCGATACTCAATCATTACGGAGTTATCCCAGTGTAGATAAAACCAAGCTCGATCACGACAGTGATGACTTTTTGTCATTTAATTAGGACGGATGGAGATCTCATGGTCCCAAGAGTTGTTCTCCCATATTTTTCTATCAGAGTGGAGCTAGATGACAATGTTGCATTCAGCTCGACTCAAAAATTTCATTTGATCAATCTGAAAAATAAGATCAAGAATTGGAAGTTCTACTAGGACTAGGGAATCATCGCTAAGCCTACTAGAGGACCCTCAAAAAAGAAGAATGGAGTCACGTAGTAGGTCTATGGGCATGCTTCGATTGTCTTAGGTAAACATTTATCAGTCATTGAGTATATGGACATGCTGAAAGTGAACTGGCGTTGTACCCCTGCATTGTGAGCTGCTTCTAATGAGGTGGAGAATATGAGACAGATAGAAAAGTTTGAGCGCTGTCAAGGAAGGAACTAACGAAGAAGGAAGGTGGCGCTTACACATCAAGTTAAGAAGACGTTGAGGAAGAGGAGGAGGATGATTAGGAAGTAGGGATTGTCCCGGGTTCGAAACTAATTCATTTTGTATTTGAGACCGAAGTTTTCATTTAAAACACTATCACTTATGAATTTATTTTGATCAATTGAAAATCATTGGATTGTCCCGGGTTCGAAACTAATTCATTTTGTATTCGAGACCGAAGTTGTCATTTAAAACACTATCACTGATGAATTTATTTTGATCAATTGAAAATCATTCTTGATGAATTATGGGCTTTGAGGGATCGCCGCCCAAATGAGCCAACCCCAAGCATCCTTAGATCAAATGCTAAGGAATCCTCTGAGCTTCCGCTAACCTAGAGAGCTTCCCAACCATCTTCTTTGGACTTTATTCCACTTGTTGAAAGAGAAAAAGCTAGTCGGCCTTCTCCGAGGACTCTAGCTATACCGGTCAAACCAGCAAAAGTGGAAAGCCTAGAGTAAAGCTGGACTAAAGAGGAGCAGGGTCGATATTTGCTCCTGAGCATGGACCGACCACTTCTAAAGAAGAGCAACGTCAGATAAAGGGAAAGGCTATGACCGTAGATTCTGACTCCCTAAACCCTAAATCATCTTTGATGGAATATTGGCTTTGAGGGATTGCCGCCCCAATGAGCCAACCCAAAGCATCCTTGGATCAAATGCCGAGGAATCCTCTTAGCTTCCGTCAACCTAGGGAGCTTCCCAAACATCTTCTTTGGACTTTACTCCAGTTGTTGAAAGAGAGAAGGCTAGTTGGCTTTCTCTGAGGACTCTAGATATATCGGTCAAACTAGCAAAAGTGGAAAGCCTAGAGTAAAGCTAGACTAAAGAGGAGCAGGGTCAATATTTGCTCCGGAGCATGGACCAACCTTTTCTAAAGAAGACTAACATAAGATCCCAAACTCAGACTCGTATTTTGCTTTAATAATTATCCAGAGGGATTAGTTCCACCAAGTTCCAGGGACACAAAAGTATGCCTCGGCCATCGTTGAAGTGCTTTGGTTGGAGGGATATATAAATTATTTAATTACCTCTAACCTGTGGAATTATATCACACAACTGACCAATATCAGTTGCCCAGACTTGTTGTTACACATCACCTGTTTTCCAAGTATCTTGAAGTGAGAGATAGAGCCTTGAAAGCTGAGTCGAAGGCTGTTGGCACCATTTTTGGATGTTGAGCTATGAGATGATATTCCACTCTTCCAGGGTACCCCATGTCTTGCAAACATCCAGTCAAGTGCTATAGATTGCATCATACATCAATATGGATGTTTTGCTCCGATACACCCACACCCAATTTTTGGCATGCTCACGCTCAATTTTCAGCACTCTCGCACCCAAGTTCTTGGGTGCCCGTGCCCACCTTAGTCCAACACACCCTCACCGGTCTTGGGTCCGCACTAACAAACATAGAGCACGGGAAGCCTAGAGCAGCTTCTAGGGTGTGATGTGTTTTTTATGCTTAATTTCATTTACATTTATTATGTATTTTTGCATTTTAAAAAAAAATTATTTTCATGTTTATCTAGCAGGTATGACACTTGGAGAATATTAGAGTTGAAACAGGGTAAAAAAGAGGCAAACAGGAGCAAATGAGGGTGCTGTCAGCAGGGTGGTGCCTAGGCGCCAGTCTCTGCCCAGAAAATAAAGAAGATGGTGCCTAGGCACTGCAGATTGGTGCCTAGGCGACGAAACTGTTCAGGGGTGGTCGCTATATGCCCCAAGGAGTTATTTGACGGATCGAGAGGTTTAGAAAAACACTTTTTGGCATTTATGAGTCCTAGAATTCTCCAGGAAGGCAGAAAGGTCGTAGATAGGAGTAAGAAATGTAAATTTTTACCTTTTCTAGAGAGATTTGTGAGGAGATTTTGCGAGATATCTGTCAGGGATGGTATTAGTATTGCATGAAACAATATGAGAGTTTGTTGGTGGGATTTTCATCTTTCATTTAGAGGAAAAAAACTAAGTATTATGCTCTTAATTATCTTGTACTTGTTGTAAACACTTATCTAATGGATTTGTTTTGATCTAATGAAACTTTCTATTGTGTGTGACACTCATTTTGTGAAGTAGAATTCTCATAAATTTCTTTTGCAATGAATTAGATGAATGTTTAGGATGTTGGATGCATGTTAGAATTAGTTTTTCATATCATAATGATGGTTCTTAATTTATGCTTCATTTACTAATCAATCTGGCCAATTGATATGTTAAAATTTATCGTAAACCAATAAGTTCTGAGAGGGTTATTGCTTTAACAACTAGAAGGAACCACATTGAATTTATGGGTGAAGGAAAAGTAGTCCTAAGATTCAATGCACTGTTAGGAGATATTTGTTGATGGGTGCAAATTGGTGTTTCTAGGGTGACATGCTAGATTTCTAACCAATTTGATCTAAGTCTTCGTACCTTAAATTTAATATTAAGCCAATTAGAGGGCTATTAGGAGAAGAAGACTCTAGGGTGACAGGCTAGATGTTTCACCGTGATGATCTAGTTATTTTAAGGAATTAACCCTAGGTTAACTGAGCTACGTCATACACTTAGAAAAAAGAAACTTAGATTTTTGCTCTTACTGTCATTAACCACATTAGTTTCTAAGCATCCAATTTCTACACATTATCTCGGTCGCCACAAGAGAAAGGTAGTTTTTACACCTCAAAATTCACCAAAATAATTTATCTAGTTAGGTTTAACTTTAGATTTAGGTTTCTATTTAGAAGTAGTTGTTAGAAAAATACCCTTAATCGACATTCCTGATAGTAGTAGACTAAAATTTATCTTAAGAGATTTCTTACCTCGCTTCCCTGTTGGATTGATAATCGGGACTCTATTAGAACTCTATATTACTTGAACGTTATGTATACTTGCAAAAAACCCCTAGTGTGTAAAGTATAAATCAAATTCTAAACTCTATAACATATTTTTTTGCACACTAGCTGCCTAAAGAAATTGGGTCAACTTTTTAACCAGGAAACTAAAAAACTACGTAACTGCGGATCGAGTCAGTGTGCTCTCCCTGACGCACCTTTGCCCAAGCTTTGGAACACCTGCTCCTGTCTTAGGTCAAACGCACCCGCACTGGACCAATAGTGGGTCCATGCTTACAAACCAGGATCATGGGAAGTGTGGCACCTGAGGTTGGGAGCATCCTTGCTCTGTGTCGGGCGTACTCACGCCCCATCACAACCTTGAAGCAAGTATCCCATCAGTTCTGGTTTGAGTGAGCCCCCACAACAACTTTGGCGGTCATTTTAGACATTTGGGTGGCTTTGAGTGCTCCCCATTGCGGCCACTTGTGTTTGCAAAGCTATGCATGCATAATACTTGAGAAAAATCACATCTTTCATGGAGGAAAAGTCATTTTTGACCCTGAGACCAAGTGATCAAAGAAGGGGGCTAAGCTTGTTTTCAAGGGGAGATCATTTTTGGCTGTTATAGGGAGGTAGCATTGTAGAGGTGTTTTCTTCCAAAATAAAGCAATGATTCTTGCTACTGGAGTCCACACTTCCTTTCTTGGAGAAGCAATACTTGAGGGACGAACAATAGCTCTAGATTTTCTTCATCTTCCTTTCCTCTCTCACGGGTTTTCCTCTCCTTTCCTCAATCTCTTATTCACTTCCAATTCTGTTTCTTGAGAGAAGAGTGAAATTGTGAGGTTTCTCTTAAAGATTTTAGATTTTTTGTGCAAAGGAAAGCTTCATCCCTACAATTGGCGTGGAAGGAGCTTGGAGTAGGACAAGAGAATGCTTCTCCAACCATTCAGGAGGTAAGAATTCGTAAATCTCTTGTTCTCCTCTTCTAGCAACCCTTCCTAGGTTTGGTGTTAGAGATATTAAGATTAGGTTCTATGTT